ATTTTTGCGTTAATAATTAAAAATCAAAAATTTCTATGCATTTAGAGAGTATATGCAATTAGACAGTATCAACTGTATATAAAAATTTGTAAAAATTCATCTTATGGCTATTAACGAGGTTGATAACGAGGGTAGACTATTTAATTTTCGGATGCAAACAATGTTACGTTATTGCTTTAACTGAAAAAATAAACGAGACTTCATTATAACGTTGTTTCTAAATCTATCATACAGGTTTTGTCTCGATTGCAATAAATAATATGCAATGCGATCTCCCTAAATGCATGTCGCTTCAGAGCATGCATTTAGAAAGTTACAATTAAAATTCGCTAATAAGATCATTATAAATAATTAGCTTGCACTTATAGAATAAAGAAACGTGGGTCCCATGGGTCTAGTCTTCCATCGTGCATTTTGGAGAGTTGCATTTAGGGGGTCTGACTATATAACACTTTAATTTAAAAATTAATGGAACAAACAATGTGTCAATAGACATCGTTTATTCATTGATGTAATTATACATACTGCATATATTATTAATTCCTATGCATAGTAATTATGCATCAAAAAAAGTTACCCAACACTAACCCGACTTCCATTTTGGAGGTTTAGTACATATTTGGGCCAGAGAGGAATGAATTCGAAGATCAGATGGGCCAATCAGGTTCTTGTTTTCATTGAGTGAGAACGTCCCGTATCTGGTATATAAATAATTCGATCTGGACATCCAATTACTTGGTGCGATTTTTTATTAGTCTTATTTTTACTTACACCTAATGACTATTTAATATAATACGTAATAAGGGATAAAGACTAAGTTTAACAAATGTTCGAGAAATTAAATAACACAATAGCCAGTAGTTTCATTGGTAGATACTTTAAACTTGAGAACAGTGGTGTTCCTAATGCTCGCAATACTCGATTCACCACTGAGCTTCGTGCTGGAATGGTAACCTTCATTACTATGGCCTATGTTATATCAGTTAATGCAATGATCATTGCTGATTCAGGTACAAAATTCTTACTAAGCTATAACGATAATAATTCTCGGTTAATTTCATCTGTAAGGTGGACCATGTGTTTGCAACTCAGGTACTACAGATTTATGTGCCAATGATCCCGATTATTTAACATGTCAAGCAATAGTACAGAGAGATTTAGTTACTGCGACAGCTGCTGTTTCGTGCATGGCGACCGCTATTATGGGGATCTTTGCAAACTTACCGTTAGCTCTTGCTCCAGGGTAAATTCAAGTTTTACTGTATGCAAATTTTTAAATCATTATTTAATAATTATAATTACTTAATTCTTCAAGAATGGGCATGAATGCCTACTTCGCTTATACTGTGGTTGGCTTTCATGGATCGGGTAAAATTGCATATGAAACTGCTATTGCCGCTGTATTCATAGAAGGGCTTCTCTTTACCTTTTTTTCAATATTTGGTATTTGTCAATTGCTTGCAAAGCTTATCCCCATGTCTATAAAAATTGCAGCTGGTGCTGGTGTCGGTTTTCTTCTTGCCTTTATTGGATTACAAAGAAGTACTGGTATTGCCTTAATAAGTCATGATCCTTCCACATTAGTGACACTTGGAGGCTGTCCTGATCAATATTATAATAAAACTACTGGCATTTGTACTAGTCACCATATGGAAAGTCCGACTACTTGGTTGGGGATTTTAGGTTTTTTGATGATCGTGATCCTATTACTTTTCAGAGTAAAGGGAAGCATGTTTATAGGAATTTTTTTCATCAGTATTATAAGTTGGTTTAGAAACAGTGAAGTTACCTATTTTCCTTACACGTAAATCTCTATAAAATGATTTTTGTTTGTTTCGTTTTGTAAAATTACAATATTGTAACGAATACTGAGATAAATATTGTGATATTTTTTCTTCACAGAGATGAGGGTGATGCTCGCTTTAATTTCTTTAAAAATGTTGTTGGTTTTCATACCATGGAAAAGTAAGAATAATTTATATGATATTTCTTCCTATTTATACGTACTTATAAACATATCCCATTATGCCAGGACTCTAGGTGCGATGCATTTTGACCTTGGAAGCTCAGATGTCTGGATAGCCATAATAACATTCCTATATATTGATACACTGGACACGACTGGCGTTCTCTACTCAATGGCAAAATTAGGCGGTTTTTTAGACGAAACTGGTGAATTTGAAGGTTCTAATGCTGCATTTATATGTAATGCTTCTTCAATTTCAATCAGTGCTATTTTTGGATCATCTTCTGTCGCTACATATTTCGAATCGGGTTCTGGAATTGCTGAAGGTGGTCGAACTGGAATTACTTCGCTTACTGTATCTTTCTTCTTTTTTATCTCGTTATTTTTTGCTCCAATTTTCGTTAGTATACCTCCATGGGCTTCTGGTCCTATCCTAGTAGTTATTGGTTCTATGATGGCGAAAAATATTAAAGATATTAATTGGAAATATATTGGTGATGCTGTGCCTAGTTTCTTGTAAGTATCCGTTCTACTGTATATTTTTTTATGTAACATTCAAGGCTTAATTATACATTTTTATTTATAGAACTTTCATAATTATGCCATTAACATATAATGTCGCTTATGGTTTAATCGCTGGAATCGTTTCTAATAGAAAAAGTATCATTTGGACGTATAACATATGATAAATCGGATAAAGAACCTTGGGGTAATTTTAAAGTTGGATCAGGTGGAGAGGGATTATTACCTATTTGGCTTGTGCCTGTTGTATATAGGATTCGTGGGAGGAAAAATACTGCGGAAATAAAAAAACCTATCGAAATAAATGAAACGACAGAAATAAATAATGTGAATCGTGATGTTGCTGTTGATGTTGATAGAAGGAATGAATAAAAACTTTTTGGTTTTGTTATTACTTTTATCTTTTATTTTTTATTTTTTAACAATTACATTTATCTAATATTATAATATAGTAATTCGTAATTTTATTTATGCGTTCCGTTATTTATATATAGATCAAAAATTTATATTCATTTTTATATTCGAAACTAGCCAGTACTTTTTTTTTTGTACCCATGTGAGTAGATGTATTATAAAATATAGTAGTATTATTATAAAACATATATATAACAATTTAAAAAAATTAAAAAAAAAAGCTTATAGCTTTTCAATTTTTAATCGACTATCTATTATGTCAGGGATAGTGTGCGCAAATCTATACATCTAATCGAATGGCAATTTCATATTATAAATTTAAAATTTTAGTAATCAGAACAAGTAAAAAAATAAAAATAAAAATGGCCAATTGTTATTCTGTAAACCCGTCAAGGAAATAAATATAAATAAGAAGAAACTAAGATAAATAAAATTTTTTAATAAATAATGCTATCGGCGGTTAATTGTAAGGAATGGTTTGTCAGAGTTGAAACAATATGAGTGACGGCGGTAATTTTAATATATTTACGGCTTTATATTTAATCTATGTAAGATTTTTATTTAAACGTTCTGTTCATTTTGTTACAATTGTTTGATAAATAAATTAACTAATCACTGAATGAAAAACAAAGTTTCTAAAAACAATATGGAATTACAGCACTATAGCATTTACAGTTTATGACATTCGAGTAATTTATTATTGTGGTAATCAGTAATTACGACGACAGCTATACCCCACATAACCAAGCTAAAATGCAAACTCGTATCGGACAAAATTTTATTTCAATCATTAATAAAACCTTGCTAATTAGACGATGCATGCCTATTGTGCTAATATTAACCATTGAAAAAAGTTTTTGAAGCAACATTTTTAATTTTACTGTATGTATGGTATATGGAAGGTGTGAATTGTTCATTGAAAAATAAAATTGGATGATTGTATCAACGACATCATAACAGAATCTTTATAATTGACGCTTTTTTCAATTATTTTTTAGAATTTTGATATGAAATATCAATATAACTCATTGTGTCAACCTTTGAAAATTGACAATATGTCCATATTAACGTGTATATTTCTGAATATTAAAATAATTAGACTTCAGAAAGTAAGAATTATTTGATTGGAATTAAAATAATTACAGATAAGAATTTTGTAAATTTGGCTAAAATTATATTAAACTAGCATAACAATGCAGGCGGCTTCGTCGCCAAGTTTTAATATTATGTTGAGCAAAATTGTGATTTGTTGATTCATCAAAAATTTAAATCAGTATCTTATAGGCCTTCTATATTTCATGTACTAATGCAATGGATGGCATAAATCCCCATATTATTCAGTACAAAATTATTTATGAATTTGATTACAAGTGCTAATAGTGAAGTGCTGAGAAGCCTTGAGCAAATATGGAGTCTACAGCGTAAGCGTTGAGATTTCTGAGTAAAATTAAAATGTATATAAGAGTGTGTTTTCATCCTTAGTTGAGAACAATACTCGCCCTCCAAATTCCTCTTTAAATAAAAATCACATAAATTCACATTCTTTTATAATAAATGTCTAATAAATCATTAATTTACTACGTAAACCATCAGAGTTAAACTCGGTATGAAAGTACCAAGCTCTCCCTTACGATCAGGGTTTAAAATTCAGCTCAAAATCTTCTTGCACAATTGCAGTTGTGGCGCAAGTTTTTATTGCACAAACCAAATACTAGTTGCACACGTGTGCATAACCATTTTTTTGCGTATATGAATTTTAAACCCTGCTTACGATAGATACACTAGCTCCTATGCCCACTTGTATTACTTAGTAATGTATAACTGTAATGGCTTTGAGGCTGTATTTACAGTGCAAGGATCTCTTTTTCTAGCGAATTATAAATAAAAAAAATTGTATCTAAATCTCTAATACTTTGGCAGATATGTACAGTAATAAAGAATTATAATAGATTTATACAAAAGAAAAAGAATTATATAAATTGTAAATATCAGTTATTTATTTTTAATCTAAAGTTTAAGAGCGAACTTGAATAAATGCAACAGAAACATATTATAAGCTTTAAGAATGGAATTTCTTGCAAATAATCCAAAGTTTTCTAGTAATATTACTTGTTTCATTGCCACATAATATGACGCCAAAACATCTTAAGATGATCGATTTATCGCATTTGTTTATTATATGTTTAATGCATCTTTTTCATAATTAAGTGATTTCTTTAGTCAACAGGTCGGCATCTTGTATTGCATTACTTGCACCTGCAACAAATTTGTAAGTATTAATCAATTTTTTTTAAAAAAAATTTTAATAACACCAACCTAATCTTAATAATGGATTCATAACAAGAGCTGCATCAACTAATAATATAACTTTACTCTTTCCAATCTGATACAGATAGTGGATCATATAGTTGTTAGACGAAATCTTTTTCGTATGATGATGAAAGACGAAACCTCTGACGAAAGTCGAAACCCAAATTCTTCTGACGAAAGACGAAACCTTAAATTTAAAATGACGAAACCTTACGCTCAAAAAGACAAAACTCTAGTACTCACGCCAAAAAAAATATATTATTTTCATTGAATTAACATTCATAATTATTCAGAGATCAGTATTCGAAATTACGTGTATGTAAGCAAAAATAAATCAATTCATTTTTTTCTGGACAACCTTGTAAAAGCCATAGTACTCATGGAATAATGAATTAATACTGACAACAAATAATGAATAAATACTGACACAAAATAATTCGTAAGATCACAAAGTAAACACCAAGCGATTTCTCACTAGAACTGATATGTAGTGTACTAGTATAATATAACTCTCTCTAAACAATTCAAGCACCTATTATACAATAAAACTTTTTGTAATTTTTATAAATTTCTGTTTTTGTTGTTTATTTTTTTTATACACATAATTTTCAATGATTTTCAGCAACATTTATTTGTTTACAATTTCGTCAGTTTCGAAGCTTTGTCAATTGAAAGTATTAAAAGACATTAGAAGAAAATAATTTCATTATTGTAATTAAAAAATATAAACTATAGATTTTGCAAAATCTAAACAAGTTTCTTCTTCCCAACCCAAAAACAAATAGACCTCTCCCCGGATTCTATGACCATTTGCATTATTTGGATCAGATCTGTTTAAATCTTTAAGTGACTCTTCAATTTTACTCATATTAAACCATATTTCTCCACGGAGGCATAATGCCTCCGCGTTATTAGGATCAATTTCTAATATTCTATAGGTCTTCAAATGAATCATCTATAAAGTTTAAAGAAACGAATATTCTGGCCCTACAGATTAGAGTAAATATATTGTTTAAAGATTTATCAAAATCATTGAATGCATGGTCAATATCATTAATTAACCAATAGGTTTCAGATGATTTAAAGCAAATGCATCAGTTGGGAAAAGCTCCACTGCTTTGTCAAATATCATTAGTGCTTTTTCGTGCGTGCCTCTTTGTCGAAGACCTATTCCTCTTCGGATTATTACACTAGCAATATTTGTCAGCCCATGCATTAATTCTAATTCTTCGATGAGCTGACTACGTTCAATTTCATTTGCTTTAGCACGTTTTTGGAGAAATACATAAGATTTAGTTCTATGTTGTTGCGGTGCCATCTATGTTGAAAAATAAAAAAAGAAGTTAGGGAAGCGTCATTTATCAGATGATTTTTTGTAAATAGTAAAATTCCCCTCCCTCAAATGATTACGATTACATAAACATATATACATGTGATCTATTAGCATGATATTTTGGCACCCACTGCTAAAAAAATCAGATGATAAATGACACTTCCCTTAATGTTTTTTTGTACAAATATACATATGTTGGATAATATATTTTTCTCCGTAAAATTACCTTTGTACAAATACCAAAAAAAAAAAAAAAAGTCAATTTCCAAGTAGTAATGCCGGTTTGGGTTGCAACTAAGATCTTCTTATGCTACAAACAATAAAATTCAGCACTAGTTTTTCTACTCTATTACCATTTATAAAAGAATGAAGTTTTTGTACTTACAATATACCACAGTAATTGAAATTATAACGTGTATAGTAAAGACGCGTTTTTGACAAGTATAGAACAGACTACCCGGTTACACACATAACCAGTAACGTAATAACCACTTCACGTGTGATTATATTAACAGGGGGAAACGTTGAACGTCATAAAATTGTTACACAATTGATAAAAATTTTTTTTATATTATTTTACAATACTTTTTTGGAAGGCTCGCTTGACTTATCTTTTATATGAATATTGAAAATAATTAAACAAACATGAAGCTCTCACTTTGCTTTACAACATGTTTTTTGAATCCCTTTGAATCCCATGGTTTCGTCTTTTTGTAAATTTCGCAATTTGATTGGTTGACTAATCCCGTAATGATATTTCGACTGGTCGATACAATGAGTGATCTGTGTAACGGAGAATCTATATTTGGACGTTTCCTCCTGTTGATTATATTACTGATCAAGTCTGCAATATAAGGGTATTCTGACGCATTTAAGAGTTGCACATATAAAAATTTTTAGGAAAAGCATGCTTATTTCACAAATTTAGCGAAATAAAAAAACATTCAATTTACTATCGAATGTTAAAAAAAAAAAAGTCGGATTTAAAAAAAACTTTGTTTTTCAGGTTGGGGGGTATTATGGTACACTATGTATTTCGTATTGTATTATTGCATCCTCCCTACAGATATTGTCCAAATGCAAAATTAAAGAAAAATTGAACATTTGAATAATACGAGACTATAGTTGTTAGACGAAACCTTTTTCACATGATGACAAAATACGAAACCTAAACCCCAAAAGACGAAACCTCTGACGAATGTCGAAACCCAAATTCTTTTGACGAAAGACGAAGCCTTAAACTTAAAATGACGAAACCTTACGCTCAAAAAGACGAAACCTTGGTACTCCTGCTAATAAAAAATAAAATAAAAAAAAAAACAAAAAAAAAACAAAAAACAAATATTATTTTCATTGAATTAACATTCATAATTTATCAGAGATCAGTATACGAAATTATGTATGCCAGCAAAAATAAATCAGTTCATTTTTTCTGGACATCGCCAGGGTTGTTATAGACCAGTTGAAATAACCTTGTCAAAAAGTCATAGTACTCATGGAATAACAAAATAATGAATTAAAACATACTGGCACAAAATAAATTTGAAAGATCACAAAGTAAGCACCAAGCGATTTCTCACTAGAACTGATACGAAAAGCATCGGTACGACTAGTCATGTAGTTGGATAAATGCCGGCTAGCCAAAAGTACCAGAAATAAATTCAATTAAAGGACATGAAGTCCGCAGAATACATTACGAGTAATTTTAGCTAAGTAATTTTAGCTAAGTAGATCGAACTGAAACGATGATATGCTCCCAGAAAATTAGCAAGTGAGATTGCGCCAGGTATCATCGTAACAGTAGAACGAGCGAGAAGCAGCATCAGACGGTGGTTTCCCGCCTGCTCGAAGCAGGCCGGCTGTTAAATAAGAAAATGGCAGAATCAAGAGACTACAGCATGCGTTGGGAGAGGTTGATCGAGAAATTAGTTTGCTGGAGACTATTGTGTCGAAGTGGGAAAGAGTGTCGAACTCGACTTTTCTTTGTCGGCTGTTTATATATCGTGGCGTGGCTTATCTATTGCATGTAATTTAATTAATTGATTCGTTCTTTGATCTCGATCCATGTCATTCATCCCATGATTTGGGTTGTACCAGTTCTTCCCTTTCTTTTCGATCCGTTGACCCTTGTCAACATGCATGAAATGTACTAGTATAATACAATATAGAAACGCCTATTATCAGTCAAAGTGTAATGTCAGAAAATTTTCAGGGTAATGATTTAATTAAGGGATCTACGAGTTGCAGCACATATAAAATTTATAACGATCTATAGGTTTTGTAAAAAAAAAAAAAAAAGACAGTTTTCACTTCTAAGCTAACATTTATATCTTACAATATAACCAGTATTCTTTATTATAATAAAACTTTTTGTTATTTCATATTTATACTATCTATATTTTTCCCTTTACGTCAAAAACCTTTGAAGTATCTAATTTTGAAAATGGCGTTTTGATACAATCGACGAAATCAACCTCAAAATTTGATTGGTTGGCATTCACGTTATTATCTATCTATAACATATTTTTTACATAATACAGCTTTACTGGCTTTACCGTACCGTACAATGATTCATGTTATTGTCTGCTTCGCAATAACTATATATATTACAGTATTCCGTAAAACAAATCCTTATTCGTAGCTAACCGCATAATTGCTTGTCTATTCGCAGTTATTCGCAGACTTTTAAAAAGGATTACACAAACTCAAATATATCGATATCAAGTTATGAATATGCTTATCGTTTAGCTTGTAACACTTTATAGTACAGAATACAACTACGTACGTACATATACATAAATAGTACATTGTGTTCGTTAATATTCTACATATAAATTACTTTTGTTCATTAACAAAAGATCTTAATTGAATTTAACCTACAGCATGGGAAATTCAGAATCAATAACTTCGTACAATGATATTGTTTTACCGACTGCATGGGATATTGAAAATAAATCACAATTTATTGACATAGATTCAAGTGGACTTAAAGTGAGTTATACAGGTAATATGAAAATGAGAAATCTCGCGGAAACAT